AAGGGCAGTTTCTTCATTTCTCAGTCATATCAAGACCCTGAGCATGGTCCGGCCCCGGGAATCAAACCCGCGACCTCCCGCTCAAGCGGTCAAGCGCCTCTCCGACTGAGTAGCCTGCTGACTAGCTCTCCGGGCCGCTCTACCGCTAGAGCGCCCCAGAGAGCTTGCTAGAGGGTCTCAACGGCGTGGTAGCTTTGACTGTTAAATGACTGCTTTAAATTTCTCCAATTTTGACGGTTGACGGTTAAAGTTTAGAGTTTTTGACGGTTGGCAGTTATTAAATGGAAATTTAGTTTAAATTTAAAGTAAATATTAACTTCCATCTGAATTAATATTACCGTTGTGTTTTGGAGGTTGTCTTGGCGTTTTACTCTTACAATTTGGAAATGTTTTCAGATATAAGCAGGTTGTTAGGTCTTGTTATGTCTAGAAAAGTGTTTCGAGAACATGGGAACTGGTTTTTCCCGTTTAGAGATTCCGGCTTCAGGAGCTAGAACCCCGTGCATTTTTCACGGTTGACGGTTAATATTTACAGTGCCGTAGCCAGACCAAACGGCCAACCGAGGCAGGCGGGAGTTGCTAGGGGGGTTCGGGGGCATGCCCCCCCCCCCCCCAATCTGGGGGACCCCCCCAAGGGTTTTTATCAGTATTTTTTCAAAAAAAATTTGAGTTAACGTACGTAGCCCCTTGGGATCGAAGAGATGGTAATTTTTTTATATTATATTGTCTGATTTGTTGTATTTTTTTTTATATAAAAATAAAAAAAAATCAAACACACACGCCAAAGAACCGAGAAGATTATCTTTGCCAAACATCAAAATATCAAATGTCGGGGGGGGGGGGGGGGGCCAGGCCCCCGAACCCCACTAGCAACTCCCGCCTGCCTCGGTTGGCCGTTTGGTCTGGCTACGGCACTGAATATATCAAAAGTTCTGGTGCACATGAGAAGGACGGCTTCAATAATAGGCCATTTGCACGATGGCGTTATTTTACTACTGTAACTACTACAGTAATACCTTTTTGTTTTTCCTTTCATATTTAAATTTTGTAATCCCAGTGAGGTTTGAATAAAAAACGCCCTAATTTGCACAACAAAAGCAAAACCTTGAAGGATTCTGGTCGTAGTAGTAAAATGATGTCATAGTGCAAATGGCCTATTGAACAATACTCATGAATACTATTGTCGCCACTGCTCACAGCATATCACAAAGACTTTGCAAACTTATGAAAAGGCAGCTTTAGCCTTATAAAATTTCCATTCAGCCACAATGCTGTTACTTTGTGTCATTTTGAACCTACGCATTTCAGGTCAGCAGTATTTTTAATTCAATCAGCGGCTGAGAAGGAGACTAACAATCTCCTGCTCGAGCGAAAACGACTGCCGGAAGTGTAAAACTTGGCTAGTATTTCTTATCTACATATCAGTAAAAAGAAGATAACAAGAGCTATATCACTGACTTTCTTGGATATTGTATGGGTATTCCCAAATTCAGCATTCTAAAAGGGATGATTTTAAAAAGGCTGTTATCGCAATCCCACCGCGGGGATGAAAATGGGCAGCTTCCGCAGGAAAGTGAAACAGGAATTGCTTACCGTCCATAGACTATTAAAATACTGTGGCCTGTTTACGATTTTTAGCAAATGATAAGCAAAGTCAGACCTAGTAAATTCCGTTCGGGAATCGCGATTATCATTTACTTAAATGAAATCAGTATTTTTACCGAAAAAATGTTGCGAAAGTCTGAAAGTGGAATCAAAGCCAGGTTTGAAGAAATAACTTAGGACTGTAATTTGCGTTTGGTAAATTTCGAAGACGTCACGAGAAGACTCGGCTGTACCTTTTTTTATAAACACTCCCATAAATTTTCCATTGAAACGACCCTAAAATTTAAAGTCGTATTGCTGACGTACTTTCAGACTGGGTTTTTCCGTGAACTTTTTGAAAATGAAATAAAAAACACGGGATAACGTCTATGATATCATGAATTCCTGGAAAAGTAAAGTTAAACGCAAACGGAATAATCACAAATTTCCGGGTAAGAACGGGTTAACAACCGGCGACTCCTATTGGTCCCCTTAATTCCCCTTAGCTCGTGCGTTGATTGGTTATTGGCGTGGCGGGTAACTTAATATAATGAATTAAATAAACATGTTTTTAGGCTTTTTCTAGGAAATGTCGGGCTCTGTTTTGTTTTGTTCTGGTTTTTTTTGTTTTCGAGAACTAACTATTCTTAGAAAACGATGCCATAAGAACTTAAAAAAGTACTGCTGCACATCAAGTGAACTTAACTGAAAGAGCAATATAATATTTTCTCTGAGGTGGGACATTTTATTAATGATGTGTTTATAATCTAGCTGCGAAAGGCAAACTTATAAATTTCTCACAAGATAGCTTCCGCGTCAAAAAAAAATAATCTTCAACGAACACATCCACGATGCTACTACTTTATATCATTCTGAACCTTTGCATTGCAGGTAAGTTAAACAAAATTTTTAATATCAATCGGTGTTTTTTATGTCCTGTTTTGATACTGGGTCGTTTGGGGGAGAATAGTCTTTACGGCTAAACTGGTCGCGTATGACTATCGGGGATAGAGCGTCGAGTAAGCGGCAGCCCAGAATACTAATTTATGNAGGGAATGGATCGATCGAGTCTTCAAGCCGCTTTAGTACAACGTTAACGGCGTACAAAATCGGAGAAACCATTGCTTTGAGTCTGATCATTGCTGTTTCACTGACGGGAAATTCTTTCATTGTGTTGATCGTTTATAAAACGTCAACCTTAAGAAAACCGATAAATTATTTCATCGCAAATATGGCCATGTCCGATCTGCTGTATTCAATATTCTGGCCAACGTTGAATCTATCAATGATACACACAAACTCGTGGCCTATCGGTGGTCAGTTTGGCCAGGCCTTGTGTAAGCTTGTTCCTTTCTTTAGTGACGTTTCCGCAATCGTTTCGATTCAGAATCTGGTTTTGATAGCAGTGGATCGATTTGTAGCCGTGGTATTTCCACTCCGCTCTCCACTCATCAGATCCAAGCTGTGTCCGTTCTTCATTCTCGTCACTTGGATAGACGCAGCGGCTGTCGTTTCGCCATATTTGTGCACCTTCTAACTCGTTGAACACTCAGAGAAAATGTTCTGCGTCATGAGATGGAAGAAAGCATTCGGAGAGTCCTCGTCCCTTACCGACTACGTATTAGCAGGCTCTATTTTGTTTAGATACCTCCTTGTGATGTTGCTTATCATTCTTTATTCCATCATCATCATCAAGCTCAAGACACAGCAACACCCAGGTGAACAGTCCGCGAACACTCAGCAACAGAGAAACAGACGAAACAGAAACGTGCTTCAATTGTCCATTGCTATCGTGTTAGTTTTTGTGTTTTGCTGGTTACCTATTGCTACTAACATTTTAATCATAGAGTATCGAGCCAGTTCCATACATTTTTCCTGTAGTTTTTGGCTATACTATTATGTCACCTACTACATGGCGGTCGGGTACTGTGCTATCAACCCCATTATTTGCTTTGTTTTTAGCAGTAATTACCGAGAGGGTCTTAAAAGACTCATTAACTGTTGTTAACTGTTATGTTGTACAGGCGTAAGTCGCAAAAATTTGCTTGTGAATGAATGTTAAGAGTAGGAGGTTCGTGGAACACTTTACCACTGTTCTTAACTTTTGCACAGGCGAAAGTTGCAAAAGTTTGCTTGTGAATGAATAATATATGTTAAGAGTTCGAGGTTCATGGAACACTTGCAAATGAAAACTAATGTATCCTGCTAGTGTACTATAAGGAGGTTAGTAAAATGTTTTCATTATATGCATGTCTGTCCTGACTTCGAAAAATGACGGCATGTTTGGCACAGCAGTAACTTAAGTGTTTGTATGGCAAAGGGCTTAGAATAAATAAATAAATAAATATACTTATCTGATGTTGATTTCTTTTTCTTCTGATATGTTTCAGCGCGATTTGAGCGGCGGTACTTGGCAGGGGATGGGGAGGGGAAGTACTCCTAGAAATTCTTGGTGGGAGTGTGCCGCACAATTCTCCAAATCGTAACCTTTTTTCAGACCAAAAAATTTCATTTTTCACATCCATTTTCAGACCTGGCATCTAAGAAATTATGTCATCATTTCTTAGATTCAACGCCAACAAAAGAGATTTCTTATTTGCATAATTATTTCTCTTTTTTTCTTATACATTTGGAATTGGAACGATAAATACCTTCATACACTCCCCCAGTTTCCTCAAAAACCATACCCGATTCCAGACCAAAATGCATGGGCAAAGTGTGTACCCATTTTCAGACCAATACGCGTACGGCGCAAACATCATACCCTTTGGCGCGGCACATACCTTTATGACTTACATAAAGGATTATAACCAGGGTGGCGGTGGCATCATGCGATCTCAAATGCAGCCGTCGCAACACTGAGATGGATTGCAGAAAATCGCCAACTAGGCAACAAACTAATGCTCCCAAATTTATTAAGCGAAAAACCTGTTCCATATATACACTTTCCTCACTAAAATCACAAAGCGATACCTCAAGATGACACTTCTGCAATCCATTTCAATCAACTTTGAGTTTGAATGCATTCGAAATATCGAACACTCTTACATCCTCAAAAACAGCTCATTCTCTCTCGCCTCCGCAGAGGCCTCTTTGTATCGTAGGGAGGCTGGAGAAAGGAAACAGAAAGCGCGGGGGGACAATGGGAAGGGGAAAGAGGAGAAGCGAGGTTTTTCCCTCTTCCCATCGTCCCCCGCGCGCTTTCTATTTTTCCGTTATTGCTATTTTTATTAGGATACCCAGCGGGAGCCTCTGCGGAGAAGAGAGGTTTATTCTCTCTCGCAAAAGCTTTAAATTTTGTCTTTAAGGCCCAGTTCAGACGCCGAACTTTTTATGAGCCGAACCTTATTCAAATTAAGGCCGACCCAAACAAAAACAACAACAATTTTATTCTTTGTAGGCGCAAGAAGTTGAAAGGCTGCCCTGCAAATAGTTGGAAAGCTAGTCGGGCCGGGGCAAGCCAAGTACATGAATAACATATCTACTAAAAACAAAAACAAAACATTAAACTATAATTACAGTCATACTAGATAGTTTTAAGAGAAGTGGGTTGTAGATAAGGGGAGAATTCGTCATGTAAGATCGGAGCACACAAAACACAGCTTACTGCACACGTCTCGACCCAAATCATTTAGACCGGCTGAATTGATTGTGACGCCGAACTTAATTCTAGCCGAACAAATTTCAAAAGGCAAAACTCCCGGCTAAACAAATAGATTTAGGTAAAAGGAGCTGGTGAAAGAAGGCTAAGCAATAGATCGTAAGAATCTATTATTTATTTCAAACTTAACCGTGTTCAGCTGGATGATTCCTAGTTTCGACGATTATCTGTCTAATGCCCGCGCCAGCCTTTTATCGGCACATGATGGCCTTAGCACTTTTTGTAAGTCGTAAAGCTTTGTTATTGCTGCGTGATTATCTGTGGTGGTAAAAAGTTCTTGGTAGTAAGTTATGAGGACACATCTACCAAGTTTTCCGGATGCTAAATAAACGGTACGCTATTTCCGAGTATGAAAGGAATACACTCACACTCTTTGTATGACTAATTTCCGTTTTACTGATGCCGAACGTGTACGTATAGTACTGACTGGGGTGACTACTAACGGAGGCAAAAACTTCCGCAAACATTTTATCTTTTTTTACATTAAAAGGCTTTACAAGCCGTACTCTAACATTACCAGTTACCTTCGTCATAAACTTTCAGCAGTAACAAAACAATTAAACAATTTTTTTTTCAGTTTGGGAAGACGCCAATTTGAATGTGCATTACCTATGCATGATTAAAAAGGAGCCGCTAATTTCTAGAGTGCGCAAGGAATGGCAAAATTGCCATCTTCTAAGCGGCGTCAAACTTACAACTCTTGGCTACAATATTTTGAATCAAAGATTCAGTCGCTTCAGTTCAGCTAAACTTTTTAATTGATTTTAAACGTATTGGGGGCTCAATTTTTATTAAAAGGACGAGTCACTCCTTTTTTTCATGGTAACAAACTGTTAAACAAGCCGAACCGTCAAAGTAAGGCAACAGGTTCTGCGAAGAAAACAATTCTTAAAAATTAAAAACACCGATAGAGATTTTACCTCTACCCCGAGGTTTAACTTAAATTTTGTATTAATTATATTTTTAAAATTGTGGTTTTCTTTGGGCACTTACGCGTTTCAATTCTACCGTTGCGAATGCGTTCCATTTCAGTAATTACCCTCGACAAGGTGTTGAACTAAACTGCCTTTTAAACAAAAAAGGTTTAACCGTTATTGCCCCAAAGACACGCTTTTTTTTCTAATTGTTTTTGTTGCTTGATAAATTTTGACTACCTGTTGTGTTGTTTCTTCTTTCCTTTGTGGCTCCCAAGCTGTCTAAATGACTATTTTACGCGTTTTATTGCAACCGGTTTGTTTCCTCTTCATTAGAAGTAATCTTTATTCCTGTCCACCAGAGAATGTTAAAAGTCAGGCCTACGTCACCCTCGTTCGTCCTTGTCTGGAATACGCCTGAAGCGTATGGGAACCACATACTCAAAAGCATTGCCAAGATGTTGAAGGAGTACAACGGCAAGCCCGCCAGATTTGTAAAAAAAAAAAGTGCTACGAACGGGAACCGGGTACAGTCAAAAATCTCCTGTGCCCAGTTGTTCGAACGCCGGCTAGCGCTAACCCAGGGTTAAATTTTAACCTGAGTTTCTTTTTCTTTTTATCAAAAACACTCTCTCCGGATAATTTTCTCTTTTCTTTTAAGAGTATCCAATCATCAAATTGTACGCAAAGACAGTTAAACTGAATTTGCTTTTTAAGCTCTCATATCTGAGTTCAAATTTCGCACAAACCCTGGGTTATCTTAACCCAGCTTCGAACAACCCGGCCCGGAACGATTTGAACTGGCATTCACCAGAGCTGAGACGCAAAATTGCACGACTTACCACCATGTACAAAATAGTGAACAATATAATTAGGGTCAATATTCCGGAGTACATTGCACGCCCACCGCGTGTTACACGCTCTTGCCATAGCAGCAAGTTTAGAAACATTTTAATAACAGCAATATGTACATAAGTACAATTTTTTTACTAGAACTCTAAAAGAATGGAACACTTTCCTTGTTATTAGATCAGCCCTTCGTGGACGCATTTAAATCTGCTGTTATAATTACTGAATCTTTCTCATTGATTTTATACATCAGTGATTTTATACATAATTTTATTTTATTATTTATTTATTTATTTATTAGTATATATTATTATTATCGTTGTTTTTTTGTTTTGCACATTCACAGTGATGGGAAAAAAATAGAAAAGCGCTCTACCGACTGAGCCAATCCTGCTACGATACCTTCCTCACTGTAAAATGTCATTTTTGGGTGTAAGAGTTTCAGGATATCAATTGAGTTGTCCTATTTCACCTGCCCGAAACCGTTACGTTGTATCAAATACTTGTTATCTTTTTACAAAAAGCCCAATAAAAGCATCGCCAGTTTAAAATACTTTTATTGTTTTTTATTGACATTTTGTCGCCGGTTAAATTTTCACTGCCCCTTTTTTAATCTCAAAATTGTTTGTTTTATAGACGTATAGCCGAAGATTAAATTTGCAACGCCTGTAAATTAAAACCTGTTTGCTCCAGTAGTTTTGAATACGTGTCGTTTCAGTTTGCTCCCTTTCAAGATAGTTATTAATACAATAGAATTCGAACCTTCCATGGTTTTGCGAAAATCTGTCGAAATGCAGAAAAAGAGCGCCTTAGAATAAGTACAGATGCCTTTGGGAGCGTTTTTTTTTAACTGAACTCAGGATGTGTTTAATGAACTTCCGTCTTTTTAATGAACCCGCAAAACAATAAAACAACCTTTCAAGTGAGTTGTTAATACACTAAGAATCACCTGACCGGAAGAGGAAAGTTGTTTAGGATTATCAGTAACAATATGAATTCAATACTGGTTCTACAAAGTTCGATTAACAACGTCGCGTCGACTGTCCGTGGCGTCATACATAATCAGCTCAGCATGAAAGATGGGCTCTATAATTTATAAGCCTTATAGCAGCTACTTAACTGAATGCCAAGGAGATAATTGCGACATAGAGTCGGACTATTCCAGTCATGCGCTTGAGGTGCTTATGACGTTTTTCAATCTGACCGTCTGAACACAGAAAGCTAAGAGAGCGAAGAGATTTTACAGTTTACAATATTTGTTACTAAGGCTGACTTGAACAGAATAACAGACAAATGAACTGTTGGCTATTTGAGTGTCCATGTATTTAGCACGAAAGTATTAATTGAGGACACCATTTGTACGTCTCAAACTGGAGATGGGACGTTCATTTTATGTGGTAATCTAAGCCACGTAAAGGTCAAGCCATTTGCAGCAGGGCAAAGGCAATTTCTTCATTTCTCAGCCATATCAAGACCGGGCTACTGGTCCGGCCCCGGGAATCAAACTTGCGACCTCCCGCTCAAGCTGTCAAGCGCCTTTCCGACTGAGTAGCCTGCTAGCAAGCTCTCCTGGCCGTTCTAGACCTAAGAGCGCCCCAGAACGCTTGCTAGAGGGTTTCGATGACGTGGTAGACGGTTGATTAATTTTTTCCAATTTTGAAGGTTGACGGTTAAAATTTAGAGCTTTTGACAGTTGACAGTTATTAATTTAAAAAATGGAAATTTAGTTTACATTTAAAGTAAATATGTGTGAACTGATATAACTGTTTTGTTTTCGAGGTTTTCTTGGCGTTTTACTCTTACAATTTGGAAATGTTTTCAGATATTTAGGTTGTTAAAGGTCAAACTTATAATGCCTAAAAACGTGTTTCCAGAACATGGGAACTGGTTTTTCCTGTTTAGAGATTCCGTCTTCAGGAGCTAGAATCCCGTGCATTTTTGACGGTAAAAAAAAAACCTTTCAGTGTTTGACCGTTGACGGTTAATTTTTAGTCTGTTTGACGGATGACAGCTAACCTCAATAAGACCCGCTGGCTAGCAGGCTACCGACTGAGCACCCTGCCGCAGTTACCTTCACCCTTGTCTGCTCTTGATAATTAACGGGGTCCTGTAACTTAGTAGAGTTGTAGGATATCACTTGATTTGTCCTATTTCACCTGCTTGAAACCATTACTCGCACCAAACACTTGTTACAATTTTACAAAAAAAGGCCCCAGTAAAAGCATCCCCAGTTTTAAATGCTTTTATAGAAATCGTGTCCCTGGTTAACTTCCCCCTTTTTAATCTCAAAATTGCTTAGTATATTTTAACCGAAGATTAAATTTGACAACCTGTAAATTTAAAACAATGCTTTTGAACACGTATCGTTTCTGTTTGCCCCCTTGCAAAGTTATTAATAAAAAGAACGCCCTAAAATAAGTAAATATGCCTGAACTTAAGATCTGTTTATTAAACTACCGTGTCTTTATTGAACTCATAAAGAAGAAAAACTGTTAAAAAAATTAGCCATTTCCTTTCTCTCACATTGTGCCTAGCTTAGAACAAATATATTAACATGGGATCAGTTTTGTTGCCTTTCTCGGTGTGTTCTTAAACAGAACTCAGGAGGTTTTTAATGAACCTTATAAGAAAAAACCAGCTCTCCTTCAAGTGAGTTATATAAGAACTCCCCAGTTTCAATTAGGTTTTTTGAATTCATGTTGTTACTGAATGATTCTACAAAGTTCTATCTACAAAGTTCGACAACTTCGCGTCCGGCATACACAATCAGCTCAGCATGAAAGATAAGCTCTAAAACTTAATGGTTTTTATTGACGCCTACCGTGGCAAGGCTTCGCAGGTGGCATGAAATTTTTAATAAAAGTTCCTGATCGGTTAACATTTGCAATATTGAGCAGTTGATATTATTGAAGCCTACTGTAACTGAATGCTGTCTTGCTGTAAAGAGGTCAGCAAACATGAACTCGACAACAGGGAATGGATCGATCGAGAA